GGTGGGCTGTGGGCTGCGGAGACGCCCGCGGCCGCCAGGGGGCGATGTCGAGCCGCGCTGGGCCGTGGGGTGGCTGCCTCCGCCTCCGCCTCGCCCCTGGAGGGGATTCTGAGGCCGGGACCCCATTCTGACTGTGCCTCTCCCTGAGCCGCGGGGCGGGACCCGGTATGGGGAGACCCCCTTTCCCCTACAAGCTCTGTCAGCTGAGTCGACGCTCAGCCCTCCCTGCCCTTGACCTTGCCTAGCGTCCCCAGCCCTCAGTTTCCCCTCTGGTCACCTGAAAGTGATTGTGTGGACGCTGAGATCCTGGCCTGTCTGCTGGAGAAGGGAGACTAGGATGGGGGACGTGTTCTGGTGGCAGGGCAGGCACACAGGGGTTGCTGTCGTCACTAGCAGTTGTCTGAGCTGTGTATGGGGGGGGCCACGCTTGACCCTCCAGCCGCAGTTTCCCTCTCTGGTTCACTTCACTACAGACGGAGTGGGACCAGCCCTCCCCGTGGCTCTGGGGTGTTCGCTGCCCAGAGCGGAGGTACTGCTGTGCCCGGGGAACACCATGGCAGGCGCACGAGTGAGGCACAGCCACCTCCCTCACGCCCAGCCTGGAGGGGCAGCTGCTTGCTCAGGTCACCCAGCCAGGCAGGAACTCAGTGCCCAGGTGGTGGGACTGTCAGGAAGAGGCAGGCTGCGCCTTCTCCACTCAGCCTCCTGCTCCTGTCAGCCTCCGGGGACCCCAGGGGGGTCAGAGCTGGCATGGGCCTGGGAGGAGCCAGTTGAGTCCTGGGCCAGGACCTGGGCTGGGTCACTCCTGCTCTCTCCCCTTGTGTCCAGGGCACCCTAGAGACTGGCGTCTGGTGCTGCCCAGATGACTCATACAGTACTTCCTGCTCCTGGGGGTCCAGGGGTGCCTGCCAGGCTCCTACCTCTGTCTGCTCCCTCCCCCAGACCCACCCACCTGCCTACTAAACCCCCTGAGTCATTGCATTTATGGGGTAACTACTACCCTCCCTGCAGGGATGGGCGAGCCCCACCCTGTGGGCTTGCAGGACACTAGTAGGGCCCAGAGGGCCTGGGGGAGCTCCTCTAGCCAGGTGACACCTGAACTGAGGCCACACAGACTTCTGGGAAGAGTACTCCAGGTGAAGGGAACAGCAAGCCCAAGGCCTGAGGCCTGATGGCCAACGTTTCTGGAGGGGGTCCAGTCTCACAGTGTAGCCGGCCAGCCTGCGGGGAGGTGGGGGTGACAACACAATGCAGGGTTCGCTCTGGATTCAGCAGGGCACAGGCTGCAGGGGGCTGAGCTAGACCCCTGAGGTAGGGTGATTTCTCCTTCTGTCTCTAGTGAGTGCCCATACCTTAATAACAAAATTTTCTTAAAACAAAACAGAAGAAAACAAAACAAAAATACCTACCTAATATCTGACTAGCAGGTGGTGTGGTAGTTAAGACTCTGGATCCCACACAGCTGACTCCATAGTTTGAGTTCTGAACCTGGCGGCTTGGAAAACATGCTGAATGTGTGTGTGTGTGTGCCCAAAATCCTGAGAGGAGTATGGAGAAGGTATTGCAGTGTGGCTATCCTCCTCCCGGGCGGGGGTGGAATTTCTCACTTTCCCTGTCTGTCATTCCCCTGTGAGCACACGCACTCTATAGCAAAAATCTAAAAAACAAAAACCTGGGGCCGGCAGGTGGCGTAGTGGTTAAAGATGCTGGACTCCCACATGACTGACCTCGGTTTGAGTCCCAGACCTGGCAGCTTGCTTTCTCACTCTCTCTCTCTCACTCTATCCCTCTATGGTCAAATAAAAATAAGTAAATAGATAAAGATAAAGAAAAAAAAAAACCTACCTAATATCACAAATAATATTATATTTGTGTGCGTACTTCTCACGAAAGAAAGATTCAAACCACACAGCAAAGGGTCCTTGCCTCCTCCCCACTCATTCCCTCCTCCAGGGCACCGCCTCCAACCCCAAATCCTGGTGGCTTCCAGTATTTTTGAAACAATACATATGACTTTTTTACACCCTTTTTGGGGTTTTGTTTTGTTTTGGTATGGGATGCATATGCTTGCCAGAGAGACAAAGAGACAGAAAGCAGCAAATCACCTCTCCAGGAGGGATGGCCACACCTCAATCCCTTCTCCTCCATTCTCTCGGGATTTAGGGCATGCACACACATACACACACACAAAAATGCCTGGCGTGTTTCAAGCCTCTGGGTCCAGGACTCCAACCATAGTTGTCCCGTTGGAGTTCAGCAATGTAACCATTATGCCATCTGTTGGTCCCTCTTTACACAATTTTTTAACCTTCCAGAGGGTGTGTGTACTCCCTAGAGAGAGACAGAGAGAGAGAAAACCCTCAACGGGACTTGGTCTCGCAGTAATCCCTTCTCCACCTCTCCTCCTTGGGACTTCAGGCATGCATGCCCAGAGTGTTTCTCAGCCGTTAGGTCTGGGCCTAGAACCATGCAGTTGACCATGTAGGATACAGAATACCTGACCACCAGGCCATGGGCTGGTCCCACCTTAAATGTTTTAAGAATTTGTGATAGGGCACTGCAGAGAGAGAAAGAAGGGGAATGTGAGAAGCACTCCCCAGAGGGGATGGCCACACTACAATCCCCTCTCTTTCCTTTTTCCCTTGGGATTCTGGGCATGCATGCACATGTACCTGGCGTGTTTCTAAAGACGCCTGGGACTAGCAGATGATGTAATGAATATGTTGACTCCCATGTAGTCGACTGCGATTTGAGTTATGGGCCTCGCTGCTGGTCCTAATAAATATAATTAAAAAAAACAAACAAATAAACAAAACACCTTATGACTCCTTAATTTTTTTGGGGGAGAGGTTTTTGCTATAGGGCGTATCGCCAGAGAGACAGAGAGCCAGAAAGCAAGAAATCACCCCCCCCCAGGGGGGATGGCAACGCCGCAATTCCTTCTCCTCCATTCTCCTCTCGGGATCTTGGGCACGCACACACATGCGCCTGGCTTGAGTTTAAGCCACCCGGGTCCGGGACTAGAACTGCAGTTGACCACATGGGAATCCAGCGATGTAGCCATTATAGCAACTGCTGGCCCCTCTATGTAACTATTTTCTAAAGCCCACTTCCTTATCAGAGAGCCAGCCCGTTGCTCCGGCTACTATATAAAACCCCCTTGCCTCTAGCTCTTCTTTGGCACCCCATTCAGGCCCGCTTCCGCTGCACTGGAAGTTTTTTCTCTGTCCCTAATAAACTCTGCTTTGCTCTCCTCTGTGGGTCTGCATCTCTAATTCTTTATGAGCATAGGACAAAAACCAGCACAGGTATTGGGTCTGATCACCCAGCATTCCTGTGTCACTGGGATAAGGACTGTCCCAGGGAAACCCCCAGTGAGTCGGTCTCCACCTGGCCTAAGCCCAAAAGATAGTTTTCTGACTAATTTAATGGGAAAGCCTGGGTTTTCAGGCATGGCTGGATCCAGAGGTTCTTCAAGGACCTAGACACAGAGACACCACTGAGACTCTCACTATGAGTGCGGTCTCAGCATGAGAGGGAGGTGGTCCCAGGCTTCAGGTCACATGTGGCGCTGTCCCCGGTCCAGTGAGGAGCAGGCGGCTACTATGCTGCAGGGGCCCATGCAGCAGCAAGTTTGCACCCTCAGCACTTCAGCACACCCCTGTCCCTTCAGGTGGGCTCCTAAGTGGTTTTCAATCCTTCATTATGAAAACGCATCAGGGACCCTCATCCCTGACACTGGGTAGTCGCCTATATTCAAAGGCTTAACTGTGAAACGGAAACGAGGTAGAACATTCAGGCTGAAATATTTTGAGAAACATCAGAAAATGAAACCAGCACATAGCAGTGGGCACTGTACGGGCCTGGGCACAGGAGCAGGCATCCGTCTGGAATTAGATGCCTTCAAAAGGGACGGTGGGCCCATGAGTGTGAACACGTTCCCTGCAGGGCCTTCGAGGTGCCCTTCCTGCCACCCATGCCAGTGCCAGCTGCGGCTCTGTCTGCTCACATTTGCTGACAGGCAAATCCAGGGACTGTTTGCTGACTCCTGGGGAAGCTGAATATCAGTGCGTGTACGTTGGTGGCCGAGAGAATTGCCACCCACACCCAAGCCCTTTTCCTCCTGGGTTTGTCTTTGTTTTTTTTTTTTTTGGAGAGGTTTTTGCTACAGGGTGCGTGCGCTCGCCAGGTAGACAGAGACATAGAGACAGAGCTTTTGCTATAGGGCGCATGTGCTTACCAGAAAGCGAGACAGAAAGGGAGAAATCACCCCGGGGGGGGATGGTCACGCTGCAATCCCTTCTCCTCCATTCTCCTCTCGGGATCTTAGGCACACATGCACACACGCCTGGTGTGAGTTTTAAGCCACGGGGTCCGGGACGCGAACCGCGGTAGACTACGTGGGAGTCCAGCGACATAGCCATTACGCTAACTGCTGGTCCCTAGTTTTTGTTTTAAATAATTATTTATTTAAATTTTCTTCTTATTTTTTTTTGGAGAAGCTTTTGCTATAGGGCGCATGTGCTTACCAGAAAGAGAGACAGAAAGGGAGAAATCACCCCCGGGGGGGATGGTCACGCTGCAATCCCTTCTCGAGAACTCCATTCTCCTCTCGGGATCTTGGTGCCGCTCACACATGCCCGGCCTTATTGTAGCCACTGCAGTCTGGAACGCGGACCGTGGTCGACTACATAAGAGTCCAACAACATAGCCATTATGCCAACTGCTGGTCTCTCTTATTACTTTTTAATTTGCTATAAGGCAAAGAGAGACAGAGAGAGAGAGAGACAAAGTGAGAAAGCAAGCCACCAGGTCCGGGATGTGAACCTCAGTTGGCCACGTGGGAGTCCAGTGCAATCACCATGCCACCTGGCTCTGGGTTAGTCTCTGAACTGGGCTGCATGAGCTCTCCATAAGTTCAGAATGTCACTCTTTCACTCTCTATGTGGGACCCTCGGGGTCCCCTCGCTTGTCCCTGTCTTCACTGGGTTGGGTCCTGTCTTGGCTTCTCAAGCTGAGCCCAGCACGAGCAGTGGGCTGGCCGGAGGTGGGGGAGCCCGAGCCCAGCGCTGCCAGGAGGGAGCAGCTGCAGGTCACACAGACCAGGGGAGCTGTGGCCGGGGAGCTGGGTGGGCAGGGAGGAATGGCTGAGGGATGCTCCCTAGGCCCTGCCCAGGTGGAACGTGTCTCAGGTCCCAATTGGAGCATGGCGCGCCCCACTTCCCACCCTGCCTGGTTCTGCCACCTGGAACACCTTCCTTCTGACATCCCCCAAACCCACCTCTTTTCACAGATGAGTGATGGGGTGGGACAGGAGGAGCACCTCAGCACAGCGGCTGCCCAGGCAGGGCTGGCATGCTGGCACCAGCCCCTCCCCGAGCAAGCTACCTCCTCCCTCTGCCTGGGCGCGTGCGTCCTGATGGGGACCCCAGACCTGGCCCTCTGCTGCAGGGCCCCTCCCTGATGATGGGCTCCATGGGCCTTTCTGGCACCGCTGGAGATGAGGCTCAGGGCGGGGATCTCTCCCAGTCCTCGGTGAACCTCCACTCCAGCCTCCCCCTCCCCCTGCCCAGCTGAGAGATGATCCTGACGGTCGAACCAAGCC